CTCTCTCTCTGTGTGTGTGTGTGTGTGTGTGTGTGTGTGTGTGTGTGTGTGTGTGTGTGTGTGTGTGTGTGTGTGTGTGTGTGTGTGTGTGTGTGTGCGTGTGTGCAGTTAGCTCGACTCTTCCAGTAGTTACTGGACTCAGCGACTTTCTAGAGGACTCGAACTGTGAGGGACCGGCGACTTTCTAGAGGACAGCTTTATGGACGGACCCTACCGCTGCGACTTGGGCTGACGGTTGGACTATGGAACTTTTTTGGGAAGCTTGGGACTTTCGGAATTTGGGGACCAGGACCGGAACTCGGCATAGAGAGGGTTGAAACTTGAAACCCTTTCACAAACCGGCACTCATCTAAGATGTCGTCAAACGCATGAAAACCCAACCTTCCTTAAGCAGCCAGTAGAGTAGAGGGGGCGAAGGGCAGCCAAGCATGTGCCCCCACCTCACAGCTGCTCTCTCTCTGCAAAGCACATGAACCCAACCCAGCTTGATGACTCAATTAGCAAGACAGATTAGTGGAGGGGTGATGAGCAGCCAAGCTTTTTGACCGACCCCACAACTGTTCTCACAATTAGTGGGAGGTTGACGAGCACTAACCTTAGAGACCCATGCCAAAACAACGAATCCAGACATCCCAATGATCCAATCGCTTAATGATTGAATCGTCACCGAACGAACGGGTCTCAGAGGTGGTCCCCACCTCAGCTTGTTGTCGTTTTGTGACGGAGAACTTTTTTTTTTTTTTTTTTTTTTTTGGGAAAACCGTACGGTTGTATTTTTGTGACAGAGACTTCCTTTTCATATTTTTTGAAAATTTCCAAACAGTAGTTTTATAAATTTTTAGCTATTTTATTATTTTTAAAACCACTAGTACCTTTGCCAAGTGGGAAAATAGCGGCCTCAGGTGGGCCTCCGACCTTTCAGGAGGCTAAATCGAAACAACGGCCGCCGATCAGATTTATCAATGGCAGCCGTCATCGCACCCGGCCTCCATTTTTTTAGGAGTTTGAGAAAACTGCCAGTTTTCCCTATTTTCCCAACACTGGCAAAGGTTCTCATGGTTTACGTTTTCAAGTTTTAACGTACGCAGGGTGGGACGGCGGGAACCTATTGCCCGATACAACCAGCCCACAGTGTGCACACGTGGTTAACCAGGGGTGTTATTTTCGACGAATTTTGCTGATTTTTTGTTTTTTTTCTTGTTTTTCTTTTTGTGTGATATATATGTGCTTTAGGGTACGTCATGTGTCCAGTTTTGACATGTTTGGATCAATAATGAAAAAGTTGGCATTTTGTTGAATTCGTTGGACGCTTCATTTTGACTCGGGCAGTGTCTTCGTGTTAGGGTTTCATAGTGTTTTTTTGTTTTTTTTTTCGTTCTTTTTGGCCTGTTTCGTTTTTTGATGTTTGCACTATGGTCTCATATCGTTTGTTTTTTAAATTTTCGATGAAATTCGCACCAAAATTGCCAACGAAAACGGCGAATATTTGGGTTGGGAAGCGGGAAACCTATTGCTCGATACAACCGGCCTGTGTTGTTTGGAAGTTGGACCCCTATTTCTATTTCCACAATTTTTCAGTAATATTTTTGAACACGTACTACCTATTTCTACCTACGCGTTCCGACAGCCACATGCTCAGAAAAAGAAATGCACACGACAACACAACAAAGCATAGCCAACAAATGGACAGAAGGAGGGAGAGGAGAAAGAGTGAAGGCGGTGATCTGCCTACCTGATAGTCCAGCTTCTGGCAAGTTGCCACAGTGCGCCTCAAGACCTCCTCTTGCATGCGCACATCCGAGTCATCTAACGCCCTAACAAACATCGGAAGCAGATGAACGCGAAGTATTTCCCCTGTTATCTTCACAGTCCAAGCCATACGATGCACCATCCGGGCAATTAGCAGGGCACTCAGAGCATAACTGTTGATGACAAAACAAAACACTGAAGAATCTTCCGAAGATCTTCTGGAGATTCTCAAGTAGCTGAAGATAAAACAGACAGCAGGAGTTCTAGTTCTTGCTGGAGGGTGGTGAGGGGAGGGGTGGGGAAGCAGGGTGGAAGCAGGGAGAAAGCAGGGGGGAAGCAGGGGGGAAGCAAGGGAGAAGGGGGGGATAGGGGGGGGGCGGGGGGG